CAACCTCCCCTGATCTGAACAGCTTCTGTGACACAGCCCAACAGCCAAGAGTGATGGAGTCCTGACACTCCTTCATTATGTGGCCATGATGTTCTCAAGAGCAACAACTCCTCATCTGTGCAACAATTCCAGTCAAGGCTAGTTCTCCTCAGCTTGAATTTGTTCAACTGCAGTTGCAATGGGTTCCTTGAACCAAATGGATGAATAACAGGTAGATGATAGATAGATGATTGATAATACCAGCTGATAGACAGATAGATAAATGATAGACAGATAGATGATTGATGGATAACAGATAGATAGATAACAGATTGATAGATGATAGGTAGACAGATGATAGATGGATGATGGATGGATGGATGGATGGATGGATAGATAGATGATAGATAGATAGATAGATGATAGATAGATAGATTATAGATAGCTATTAGATAGATGATAGATAGATAGATGATAGATAGATAGATAGATGACAGATAATAGATAGATAGATAGATAGATAGATAGATAGATAGATTAGATAGATGATAGCTAGCTAGATAGATAGATAGATAGATAGATAGATAGATAGATGGATGGATAGATAATGCCAGGTGGTAGATAGTCATAATTAGCTTCAGCTTTCAGCTTAACACAAACCTAGAGTCACCTGGAAGAAGGAATTTCAATTGAAGAATTGTCTCCACCATACTGGCCTGTGGGCATGTCTATTAGGAGGCATTTTCTTGATTGCTAATGATGCAGGAGGGTCCAGCCCATTGTGGGCAGTGCCAGTCTAAGTAGGTGGGCCTGGGCTATATAAGAAAGATAGCTTAATATGAGCCTAGAATCAATCCAGTAAGCAATGTTCCTCCATGGTCTCTGCTTCAGACCCTGCCTCCAGGTTCCTGTCTTAAGCTCCTGCCATAACTTCCATCGATAAAGGACTATAACTTGTAAGCCAAATAAATCCTCCTCAACTTGCCTTTGGTTATGTTTATCACAGCAACAGAGAGACTAAACTAGGATGGATAGATGATAGATAGATGATAGATAGATAGATAGATAGATAGATAGATAGATAGATAGATAGAGATAGATAGATTAATAGAGATTGATTGATAAATAGATGGATTGATGTAGATATGACACACGATAGACAATAGACAGATGAATAAACAGGTGGGTAGATAGATAGATGATAGATAGCTATATGATAGATGGATAGAGGTAGATAGACTGATGGATGATTATGGATAATGATAGGTGATAGACTGGTGATAGATAGATGATAATGATAGATTGAGGGACAGAAGAGACTAGGGTCCTTCAGTCCCTTCAAAGCACATCAATGATTTTAAAACCTCCCTCTAGTCCCCACCTGTAGGTCCATATACCTCCAAACACTGCCACTCTGGGAACCAAGCCATTACATACCATCCTTTGAGCAATATACAGGCAAACCATAACAATATCCCTGTCTCTTTCTGACTGTGTGTCCTTCAGGGATGGTGGGTGACATTCTTTTGGCCCTTTATATTTCCTGGCATGTACAGGAGGATTAAATGAGATGGAGTCTGCAAGGCTAAGCCTCACACACACAGTGGGGCTGCAATAAAGGCGGTGCTGGTGATTACTCATATTGTCCTCTGCCCTCAGAGCAAATCCTTCTTCAAATTTTCTTCAGAAGGTTGGACTGCTTAATATGGACTGATACTACTTCGAGAATTTACTTTTCTTTGTGCATGTGTGATGTGTAAATGTATCTATGTAGATGTGTGGAGGCCAGAAGTTGACATCCAACATTTTCCTCAATGGCTCTCCACCTTATTTTTTGAGACAAGGTCTCTCCCTGAACCTGGAGCTCATCCGTTAGGCAAGGCTGGCTAGCCAACAAGTTGTAGGGATCCATCTGTCTCCAGACATGAACTACCACACCTGGTTATTTCCTTAAATTAAAAAAAAATCTATTTTTATTTTATGAATATTTTCCTCTCGTGTATGTAAATAAGTGTATCCATGTGTGCAGTGTCTCTAGAGACCAGAAGAGGGTGTTGGATCCCTTGGAACTGGAACTAGGAGGGGTTGTTAGTCACCGAGTGTGGGTACTTGGAACCTGACCCAAGTCCTCTGCAAGAACAATCAGTATTCTTAACCGCTGAGCTATCTCTCCAGCCTCATGCCTGGATTTTATATGGATTCTGGGGATCTGAACTCAGATCTTCATTTTTACACAGTAATCACTTTACAACTGAGCCATCTCCTCAGCCTGTATTTGGAGAATTTTCTCTGGGGTATCTTTTCTTGTCTTCACAAACAGCCCTAGAAATCACCCCTACCCCTTGCAGTACAAATTCTTACATTTCTGATGCTCCTGTTTTATTTTTATTCTCTAGACTCAGAATCAGTCATGAAAAGTAATTTGAATTCCCATCTTGAACAACAGCAGGGACTGAGCCCCAAGTCTTTGCTGCCCTTCCAGGTATTTGTAAGACCCCTGGTGGTGGGGGGGATGACATCATGGTGACATCACCATGCTGCTGCCTGTGTACCCCAGTCATCTCTCCACACCCTCCCATTGACCAGTGCGCCCAAGCCAGCCACACAGCTGGTGGCTTTTTGCTGTTCTGTTATTTTTAAATAGAAATCAAAGCCATATGATAAATTCACAAGTGAGAAAACCACACTTATTTTTCAAAAGGTCAACCTCACAAGCTATAAAAGAAATGTAAATTAAAACAAGGTCCATACTCCACCACTGGAAGTGGCCAAGATGGAAGGCAGTACATAGTATTTGGAAAAAGCTGGCAAGGACATTGGCACGTGCCACCCACGAGAGGATAAATCAATAGCCAAATACAATGTGGACAAGTATTATAATTTACTTACTAAAATAATAACTCAACTTCAAGAAAAATACCTTAAGGGAATCATTGGAGTTGCATCAAATGCATTTTTATTTTGTTACAAAAATATCCATCATGGTATTCGCTTTAATATTGAAAAATGAGAAACCACCTGAATGTCCAGCTAATGAAGACTGATTGGTTAAATAAGTCACAGTACCACCCAGTGAAAAATGCTGTACCACCATGGAGCTATGATCTTGAGTGGGAAAAATGGAGATAGAACAGGGTGCTTTTGATTGGCCATAAATATCGTTTTGAACTGATATAAAATGGAAAGGTGGAGAAGTGATTTCTAAATGTTTTTGGCAAAGTTTGCAAGGTGTGAGAGTGAGTTGCTTTTATTTCTCTCCTTTCCTAACTTTCTACAAAGACTGAATATTTTGGTAGACACACACACACACACACACACACGCACACATGCACACACATACACACACAACTTTAGTTATATCTCCATCTATGTTTTGCTACATATATACCTATACATATATTTAAATTCAGTTCTAATATTTCTTGTGTGTTCACTGCCCCCACCCAACAGATGCCAGGTAAGAGAGTTTCTGGCTCTCCTGTGGTTTCCATGGTGCAGGGCCCCTCAAGGGCTCACAATCTTCTTCCTCATTAACTCTGTTCCTATCCAAAGACTGGTTAACCTGGAAGTCCTTAGTGACGGGCCCTGAGTTCTTGCACTGTGGCCTCTAAGGTTGTCTGATAAGGCCTGTGGTTCCCTTCTCAAACCAGTCAGTCTACAAGCAAAAGTGAAACAACGGGATTTTGAAGGGTATTTGCACATCCCCTGAGCCAGAGGGATACGGCTTAGATCCCCAGAAAGGTCAGCCCTGGCTTCTGTCAGTGGCTCTGCCAGTGAGATACACAGCTCTTTTTTCTTATTTGTTCTTTGGAGACAGGGTCTCATTATGTAGGCCAGGCTGGCCTAGGACTTGTGATCTTCCTGTCTCTGCCTCCAGAGTGCTGAGATGATAGCTGTGCACCACCATGCCTGGCTGAGATATATAATTCTACTGCCCTTTCTATTCCTAGTCTCTCTTTCTACCAGGCCTAGAGATGACCCTTGATCTTCACAGTCACTTAACACAGTCAGTGTCATGAGGAGATTGGAGCCAGGAGGTGGTGGGCAGGATATATCCCATCTAAGACCAGGAAGTTCTGCTAGGAGCCATTCTTGGGCAACCAGCGCTGGGTCAGCAAAGGAAAGGTCTTTTCCCTCTAGAGCTGTGAAGAAGAAAGGCAGTGCTCTGAAGGAGGAGGCTACCTGAGGGGAAAGCCACTCCTCCAGAGTTTAGGAACATTCAGTGGAACATTTATGGTAGCCTTTGATCCAGTCAAGCCTGAAACACACAGAAGTGTTCTCTATCATCTATCTATCTATCTATCTATCTATCTATCTATCTATCTTCTATCATCTATCTATCTATATCTATCTATCATCTATCTATCATCTATCTATCTATATCTATCTATCATCTATCTATCATCTATCTATCTATATCTATCTATCATCTATCTATCATCTATCTATCTATATCTATCTATCATCTATCTATCATCTATCTATCTATATCTATCTATCATCTATCTATCGTCTATCTATGTCTCTCAATTTGATTACACTTCTTGCCACTAAATGTCTACACCAAATCATTTTACATTTGAGGAAACCGAGGCAGACGAAGAGAAGCGCAAGGCCAGGCCATGACCGTCATTGTTTCTGGCCTTGAAGCTCCTCACTCTGACTCCGAGGAGCCAGATTCTTCCCTCAGTAGGTTTCCCAACGGTTCTTATGAGTGCCTCAGTTCATCTCAAAACAAGGAGCTCAGAGACATTTAGCCACATTCACCATCAGCCTCTGTCACCTTCTGCCAGGTGGTCCTTTGACACAGATCCCCTCCTCAGCTACCCAAGTGGGAGTCCTATTCTCCACTTTGTCTTTTCTGTTCTATTTCCTATTACCTGTAACACTGTGGCACAGTCGACCCAGGATCCCCACAGGCACTCCTGGGGAGAAGGGGGGCAGGCGCACATAACTCCAAGCTCCCCACCCAAGCCACGCTCCTGCCCCTGGCCTGCACCCCTCTGCAGTGGCTGGCTCACCTGTAAATCAGTACCTCGTCGTCAGAGCAGTTGTACTGCAACTGATACATCTTCACTCGGGGTGCAGATTTGCTGACAGACCACTTGACCAAGGCGGAGGTGGTGGTCACGTCCGACACCAGCACAGCCCGTTCTGGGGTGCTTTTGGGAGGCTCCCCGGCCCCACTGCTTCCCCCTCCCCGGCTGGTCTTGCTGGAACCCGTGATATCCGAGAGGCGAGACTTAGGGGGTGCGCTGCGGCTGGTGCTGTTGCTGAGGTGTGGGAGCTGGACGATGGAAACTTCCACGGTGGCCGTGGCCTCCCCTGCAGCGTTAGCAGCAATGCAAGTGAACGCCCCGCTGTCCTGAGAGGTGGTGATGAGGATGTCCAAGGTGCCATTGTCATACACAGCAGTCCTGGAGGAGTTCCCCACCAGGCGGTCATCAGGGGCAACCCAGTGGATGAGGGGGCTGGGGTCCCCAATGGCCTTGCACTTCAGTGTGGCCGCCTGGCCCTCCAAAACCAGCAACTTGTGTGTGTGTTGAGTGATGAGAGGGGGTTCACACACAAACTCCTCCTCCCGCACATGCCAGAAGTAGCGACCCTTGAGGCCCCCCGGGGACCCACAGGTCTCAAGGTCATCATCCCTCTCCAGCCTCCGCAGCCAGAGAAGCTCACAATTACAGTGCAGCGGGTTTCCCCCGAAACTAAAGGACAAGGGTGGAGCGAAGGGCGTGGCCGTCAGCAAGGAGGCCTGGGAGCGGGCAAAGATAGGGTCTGGGGGCAGCTTCTGCAGCCGGTTGGATGTGAGGTCCAGGCGGGCCAGTTTCTGCAGATCCGCAAAGGTGCCCTCTGCGATGTGATCTAGCAGGTTGTGGTCCAGGCTCAGCTGATGGAGGTTGACCATGCGCCGCACCGAGTCCCAGGGCAGCCCGTGAAGGTTGTTGTACGAGAGGTCCAGATCCTCCAGTGTCAGCAGGAAGTCTTCAAAGGCGTCATCGGCGATGCCACCTAGCTGGTTGTTGTTCACAATAAGGTGTTGGAGGTTGACGAGACCCCGGAGTGTGTCCTCACCAAGGCTAGGCAGCCGGTTGCTGTCGAGGTGCAGAGAGCGAAGGCTCTCCAGATCCAGGAAGGAGAAGGGCTGGATGTGGCTGATGGTGTTCCTGGACAAGGTCAGATCCACCAGACCCGTCATGTTGGCGAAGTCCTGGCGGCCGATGTGGATGATGAAGTTGCCGCCCAGGCGCAGCTCCACCGTCCTCCGGTCAATGTCAGGGGGCACAAAGAGAAGCCCCTTGGAGGGGCACAGGGTCCCCAGTGACTCAGACAGGTTCTGGCAGACACAGTACTTGGGGCAGGCATCGACCACAGCAAACGCCATGCCAAACGTCAGCAGCCCTCCAAGCAGGGTCTCCATGGTCTGGTCACTCAGCCTCAGAGCCTGGAAAGAGGGACACAAGGCCAAGGTCAGCAGGTGATTTTCCTTACAGAGAGCTTGCTCTCCCCCCGCCCCCAGGAATGACACACGATGTCAGGGACCAGCATAGACTGGCTGTGTCCAGGAGAGTGCTTATATCTTTTCATTCAACATCTCTAATGAATTCCATTTTATCTTTTCTCCTTAGTCCTAATCTCCGAAAATACGACTTGATTCACATGTTTTTTTTGTTTGTTTACTGATTGTTTCCAATGTAATCCACTAGCGTATAAACTCCATAAAAGCAGAACTTTTGTGTATTATTATTATTATTATTATTATTATTATTGTATGTCTATGTGTATATTACCTGCATGTGTGCACCTGTGTCGTGCAATGCCCATGGAGGACAGAAGAGGGCATTGAATCCCCTGGAACTGAAGTTACTGATGGTTGTTAGCCACCATGTGTGTGCTGGGAATAGAACCCAGGTCCTTACTGCTGAGCCATCTCTCCAGCCCGGGCTTTTGTGTTTTGTGCCTGCTATATTCCAAATATCTAGCATATTCTCTAGAACATGGTAATTTTCAATGAGTATTTGGGGTATGGATGAGTGATTGGTAGGTGGAAAGATGAGTGGGTAGATAGATTTGGGGTGAATGGATGAGTGAGTGGAATGACAGAGGGATGAATGGTAGGTGAATGGGTGGGTAGATAGGTGAGTGGATGAGTGAGTGTATGATGGGTGGGTGAATGGCTGGGTGGATGGGTGGGTCAATGGGTGAGTGGATAGATAGAGGAATGGGTGGGCAGATTGGTGGGATGGACTATGGGTGGGTGGATGGTTAGAGGAATGGGTAGATTGGTGGATGGATTTTGGGTGGGTGTATGGCTGGACAGATGGATAGAAGGATGGATGGGTAAGTGAATGGGTAGGTGGATGGAGGGATAGATGGGTGAATGGATGAATGAGTGGATGAATGGAAGGATGGACTGGTAGATGGGTGGGTGGGTTGGCATGCATGTGAGTAGGTGAGTTCATGGATGGGTGGGTGGATAAATAGATGGATGGATGGATGATACCATATGGATGGTTCATCCAATAACCACTGATTTGGAAACACATTTTCGAGTTGTCTTGTGAAGCACAGTATTACCCTCTTGGTTTAGGCACAGCATGAAATAAAACTGGATCAGTGTTCCTTAAGGATAAAGGTGAGGACAGAAAGAGAGTTGCCCTTGAGGGAAGGCAGGGTTGGTGTGGAACTGGTTTTGGCAGGTTCTTCAGCAAGGCCAAGTCATCCAGCTCCCGGCTCTTTAGAGTTCAGGGAAGGGAAGATGGTAGAGGAGACAGAGGGAACAGACTATGCTTCTGAGAACTTGGCTGGTACTAGGTGATCTCCCTTGACTCCCCCCATCCATCCTATCCATGGACTTCAAAAGCACCTGTCACAAGGAAGGGATTGCCTGTGTGCATGGATGGGGACTTGCCCGTGGTCTTGAAACCCACTTGAGTCATTATTCAAGTCACCTTCTCATTGAGGCCTCTCTTGAGTCCCTCCTCCCATGACCCCCCCCCCACACACACACATGTCTCTCTCCCCTCCTGGGTATGTTCTTCATGGAACTTAGCCACACTCTACGTCACTTAGTATTCTGCCTATTGTCTGTCTTCTTATAGGCAGCAGAGCCTCCAAGAGAAGGAGGTTCACTTTTCTTCACCATAGCACACCACAACCTAGCACACTGGCCAGCACTTAGTAGGCACTTTTTCACAAATGATCATCTGGGGCAGGAAAGGGATGGGAATTTGTGGCAGTTCTTGTGTCTCGTCTTACGTTTTTCTCACTATCCCATGTGGTACCAATTACGTACTGTTTAAAACCAAGCAATTGGGTAAGACTTTGAGCAAATCCTGTATACTGGTTCTGTATCTTCCTGTAGATCAGGATTTCTCAAACTGCCTTTTAGGAGTGCTAATTAGGGTTCCACAAAAGTGGCTTCAGAGGCCAATAAGCTTGGAACAAGCTGCCCACTCATTTGCTCTTGTGAATGCTCTGTAAGTGTTAACAAGTTCAGAAGAGCTGAGACACTGTGCTGGGGGGAAGAAACTGGATTAAGAATTAATTTGGTATGGCTTTTAATGTTTTTATTTTGTTTGACTTTGTGTGTGTACAGGTGTGTATGCACATGTGTGCACATACATGTGGAAGCCAGAAGTCTATGTTGGATGTCGTCCCTAACTGCTCTCCACCTTATTTTTTGAGACAGCGTCTCTCACTGAACCTGGAGCTCACTGATTAGGCTAGCCTGGCTGGTCAGTGAGTCCCAGAGAGCCTCTTGCCTCTGCCTCCCCAGTGCTGGGGTTGCTGGTACACATTGGTTGCTGTGCCCAGGTTTTAACATGGGTGCTGGGAACCCAAACTCAGGTCCTCATGAGTGTGCAGCAAGCACTTTGCCAACTGAGCCATCTCTCTAGCTCTACTCTTCTTTTTGAACAACTTATTAATATTTGGAAGAAGTAGAATTCTATAGATTCCAGTGTGAAGGCCACAGATGCAGACAAAACAGTTAGCAGATGTCTTATAAGGAAATATATTATATAACTATACCATATAATATATATAAAACCTTCTAATTGGAGCCGGAGAGATGGCTCAGAATTTAAGAGCACTGGCTGCTCTTGCAGAGGACCAGGGTTTGATTCCCAGTACCTATATGGTGGTTAACAATCATCTGTAACTCCAGTTCCAGGGGAATCTGATGCCCTCTTCTGACCTCTGTAGGCATTGCACAACACAGATATGCTTACATACATGCAGACAATATGCTCATACACACATAAATAAAAATAAAAAATAAAACCACCTAATCATGGGCTTTATTATGCAAATTTCAATTCCATTATCCTCAATCTTTAAGGGAAAATCCTCCTATAAGACCCTTCAAGGATCAGCAACTTTTCCAACATTTCACTTGGAGAGAGTGTTGGTCTGAGAACAGTGCTGTCCAGCAGAAACACAGTATGAACCAAAATGTAATTTTAGACCTTCCAGTGATCCTATCTTTTAAAAAAAAGATGACATTCATTTTAACAGCATATTTTGTTTTGCCCACAATATCCAAAATATCATTTCAGTGTCATCAGTACTATTATTAATGAAATGTTGAACATTCTTTTATTTATATGAAATCTTCAAAATCTGGTGTGTATTTCACACGTACTGTTAGCACATCCCAAAATTTCCTTCTCCATATGTGGGCTATGAGTTCCCCTACTGGACAGGCCTGTGAACTACTGGCGCCTGTTAGCTGTTTTGTAAATAAAGTTTTATTAGCACTTGGCCCACTCATTTATTTGCACATTGCCTAGGGTTTCTTTTCATGACAGTGGTAGAGGTGTATAGTGGAGGCAGAGAACACAAAGTCCACAAGGCCAATAGTCCTGTCTGGTCCTTTCTGGAAGTTTTCTGACCTTTGTTCTAGAGGGTGTGGGTTCCTATCATCTTCCTCATTGTGGGTGACCCCCTTAAAGCATCTGCCACATGTCTAATTCTACAGAGTTCTGCTCAAGCCCCCAAGGAGCAACCACCACCTACCAATGTGTATTGTTACCAACACTTCACTGGGGCAGAGCAGCCACCCTGCCCCAGGTCCCACCAAGCATCTGCATCTTCAGCTGTGTATCATGAGAGCTCTCCACCCGCTGCCTTTCTCTGTGCTCGGACAAGCTTTGGCCTTCTAGTTGGCAGGTTCTTCGTAGAGCAAGTAGGGCATCTTATCCATCATCTTTTGTCAGGCACACCTGGGGCCACCCCCAAGGCTGTCTATCCATGACCTCCACCTGTTTCTTCTGCTTAGCCCTCCAGGTTCCTCTTGGTTATTTCAGCAGCGCTGTGTGTTGAGAGGCTGACCCTGTGGCCCACCTCACTGCAGTATAGATGGCTGCCTACAGCAAGCATCCTTCGGTACCTGCCTCTGCTACGCAGCTGAGGTCTAAAGGAGACAGGAAAGGTGAGACACTTGAGGCACACACCCTGTGGCCTGAGAGGCCTGGCTTCCATTGCTTCAAACAACTCTGTCCTGGTAAATGACACTAAACAAACCACATTCTTTTTTTTTTTTTTAAAAAAAAAAAAAGTTTTATTTTTATTTTACATGTTATGAGTGTTTTGTCTCCTTTGTTAAAAAAATCTCTTCCCGGTAAAATAACCAAAAAAAACCCAATTTTTTTTTTTTTTTTTTAAAAAAAAAAAAAGTTTGTTGAGGATTAGCAAACGTCTAATGAATTCAAATGGGTGACATAATAGAGCCGGGTAAATATATTTTAAGTAATCAGCATGGAAGATTACTGACAGAGAAATGACTATTGAATCTTAATTAAAATTGTATTCTGAGAACTGTCACTTAATACATTACTCTAACAGCCAAACAAAAGGCATTTTCAACCCCGGCTTTGGAGGGAGGCAGAAGAACTGGATGAATAAGGCTGATTAGAGCACATGAGGTAGGAGAGGAGCTCCCTCTGCGAGGCAGGAATTTGTCCAAAGGCTGAGAGAAGGCACTCTGACCTGGGTGCCTTTAAGTATCACTGAGTGGTGTGGGTGGGTAGGGAGGAATAAGGGGTGAGGGAGACTAGGAGACCTGGCCTATGACTGGAGAAAGGACAGCGATGAAAGCAAATGGGCTGGGCCCAGCTAGCAGCGGTGTGGGAAGCCAGAGAGGCTGAAGAATGAGCTCTGGTATCAAATGTCAGAATCACCCTGCGGAGGCAGGAGCCATCTGCAAAGCAGGCAGCAGTGTGCGGGCCCCTTGGACCTGCAGCGCTCTAAACTTAGCCTACTCCTGGGCACTGATCCAGGGTAGGAACATATCCCCTCCCACTCTGCACAGAGTGAATTTCTTCAGGGGGGTCCTCACTACTCTGCAAGATAAGAGCTTGCAATCTCTAAGGTACCCTTGTGCAGTGAGAATGGGATGCCCCCACTGGGTGTTTGTAAGAGCATCTTAACTGAGTGACCTTG